CTTTCTAATTTTAGTAGAGACGGGGGTCTCACCCTTGCTCAGGCTGGTTTCGAACTCCTGAGCTCAAACAATCCTCCCGCCTCGGCCTCCCAGAGAGCTAGGATTACAGGCGTGAGCCGCCGCGCCCAGCCTGAGCCTGGCTCTCTCTTCAGCTTGATGCCCATGGCCGCCTCGGAGGAGTCTATGACAATGCCCAACCCTGCTCAAACACCCTCCATGGCTCCCACTGCTCTCAAGACAGGGGCCTGATTGCTCAGCTCAGTGTTCAAGGCCCTTCTACCATATAAGAGGCCATGAAGCCCACCTGAAGGCTGTCCCCACTGGCCCCAGACGCAGAGCCCCTACGGAGCCCGGTTTGCCTGTCACCAAATACCTGAGGCCATGGCCACGGAAGTAGGCGTGGACGTACTCGGTGAAGGCCGTGGCCACAGGCAGGGCATCCTGGGAGCCTAGGACCACAGGGCTTGGGCCCCGAGACACTCCTGGGGGTGCTGGGGAGCGAATGCAGGACAGACGGACGGATTGAGCACAGGCTCCAGACGCCCCCCACCGACGGGGCCTCCATCGTATCCCTCGGCCCCCACCCAGACGAGAGCCGAGGCCCAGAGGGGGCCCGGGGCTGCCCCCACATACCGTGTCCTGTCTGGAATGAGAAGCTGGGCCGTTCTGGGACAGTGCTGGGGGCCGAAGAGCCCAGTGGGGAGGGGCTCAGCGAGCGAGACTGGAAGGGAGGGAGCGGGCTGGGCTGCGAGCACCTGGGAGCACTGCCCAGAAGCTGGCCCCAGAGGCGACCCCCAGCCCAGCTCCAGCCTTGCCCCTCACCCTACCAGGCTTCCGTTGCTGCGTGTGACGGGGCAGGACACCTTCCTGGTTCGGGGTCTCCGGGGTGGGGCTGCCAGGCCCTCCCGGGCTGTGGGGTCGGCAGGGGCAGGCGTCAGGTCTGAGGGGCAAGTGCAAGAAAAGGCACTGCTGAGACGCTGCTCTGGGCCTCTCGGGCCTCCCTGGGTGCAGAGCTCAGCAGAAGACTGCGAGATGGGAGTATGTTGGGGAGACCCCTGATGGTCTGAAGTCCTGGGGCCGCAGACAGAGAAGGTGCTGGGCAGGACTGAGGATACGATCCACAGCCCTGAACCTCCCAGACACCAGAATGGTGGCCCAATGAGGGGGGAGCTCCCTGTCACTGGGGGTATGCAAGCAAGGGCTGAAGGCTTACGAGGCAGGCACGCCATAGGGGGATTCAGCAGAGGATTTTTAGCTAACAGCCAGCTATTCCATGACCTTCCCCTCCTCTGGGAGCGTGAGAGCCACCACCTGCTGTGGCCTACACCTGAGTCTCACCCTTCTACGTTGTGACACCCAGGCTCTGCCCCGTCCGCTTCCCCAGGATTCCGGCTCACTCGCCTCCCCTCCCACCCACACCCCTGGCTGTGCTCCCGCTGCTCCCGGGTTTCCTGGCCCAGACGCTGACGTTTGGGGCTGGGTCATTCTCTGCAGTTGGGGTGCCCCCTTCTGGTGGTGACAACCAAAAATGTCTCCAGACATTGCCAATGTCCCCGGGGGGCAGAACTGGCCCGGTTGTCAGGAACCCCTGCTCTCCACCTGCGGTGTCTTCGCTGGGCTCCAGCCAGGCTCTGGCGTGGAGGGGTCAAGCACCCTCGTCAGGACTGCTGGGGACATCATGCGGTCACAGCCCACAGTCTCTCCGACTTGGGGGAACCCCCTTTTCTCGCACTCCCCCCACCTGCTGTCCTCCTCCTCCCACCTCCGCCCTGCCTGGGCTCCATCCATTCGCCTGCCCTCTCTGGGAGGCCGCCCCCTGCTTCGATGACACGGGCATGCAGTGGCTGCCCGTGGGGTGTTCCAGCCCAGCCTCGCACAAACTCAGGGTCCACAGTCCACCTGACGTCTACAGGCCCAGCCTCGGCAGTCCCCACCCCACGTGGTCTTCAAATATGCCCCAAGGCCTTCGCACTGGCCGTGCGCTCCGCCCCGCGAGCCTCTCCCCATCCTCGCCACCATCCAATCCGAGCTTGGATGTCTCTTCCCCAGGGACGCCCCCGCCGGTACCCCCTCCGCCTCCTGCCCTAGTATCCTCGCCCCCGGCCCCAGGGCTCCGCCGACTCGCAGACCGGGCGGCTGGACTCACCTCCTCCTGCCAAGGCCTCGGGCCCCCAGGGTCCCGGAGAGGGCGCGAGGGGCTGCGGCGAGTCCGGTGGCTGCAGGACCCGCGTCCCCCTCGACTCGGGGGGCGGCGCCCGACAGCTGGGCGGGCTCTGCGGGGTGCCCGGGCGGGGGACCCAGGAATCCGGGGAGGGGCCCGGCGCCGCGTGGGATGGCGAGTCCAGGCCGGAGTCTTCCACGTTTTCCGGCGACGAGGAGGAGAAAGGGGAAGGGCTGGAGGCGAAGCCCAGGCTGCTGGAGCCTTGGGGAGGGAAGGGGCGGTCAGCTCCGGGCCACGCCCACGTGGGGTCCCCACCATTCCGCTGCAGGCCACGCCCACGTGGTGGAACTGCTGGGCCCCATTCAAAGTCCTTGTTCTCCCCAGGCCACGCCACTGGTTACTTGTGTCTAATGCCCCACCCACTCTGGGAAAGGCTCCACCCACTCTGGCCCCGCCCACCCACTCAGGTTTCCCCCACACACACTGCCTCCTGTCCTCCTTCCAGCCTAGCCTACCCTCTGCTGCACCAGAGCTGCCTAACCTTGCAATGGCCCCACCCATCCTCCCTTAGGCCACGCCCATGCCCCCCAACCCCTATCCCCCTCACCTGTAAAATCTTCATGGTCAAAGGCCGACTCCAGGGGGGGCCCAAAGAGGTTCTTGGCCACCTGCTCATCCGATTGCAGCTTCTCCATACAGCTA